CGATTGGGTAGTCTTTTTTTATTATTTTAATATATTGACAATTAAATTAATCTACTAATATAAATATCAATATTATCGTTATATAGATTTTTCTTGAACATCCAAATATAATTACAAATATGGAAATTTTTAATTTATTATATAGTGAAGAATTTTTTTCTATATGCCGGCAAATTCAATCAATATGGAGCCCCATAAAAACTTGTATTAATATTCTAGAATCTGGTTTAGCAACTTTAGCTAACTGTTTTATATATATGATAAAGTTAGCAGTCGCTATATATCAGATTTCTGAATCTAACCGATTTAAACCTATTGCAATCCAAATATTTAATCGACGATATATAGAATTTCAAAACCCATTATACCTTTTATGTTATTTTCTCTATCTACTTTATCATAGTACAAACTTTAATATTTATTTTTATTTGGTTAAATTTTAAATATTTGACATTATTATTATTTTTAATAATACTTTATTTATTTATTTATTTAGGATCAGGTCTTCGAAATGAGGCATTTCGTAATGCTGCAATAACAGTATCAACATTATGGAAAGAATTAGGGCATTCTGAGCAAGAATGTAAAGAGCTTATTTCACAATTTCGCTATTTTGATGCTATAAAAAAACCATTTGACCTACCATATGTTTAAGGATTGGACATTCTGATATTGTGGTGGAGATCTATCAAAAGTCGGTCGTATCATCTTTCTGAACTCGCGCTAAGACTTTTTAGTATTTCACTGTCACAAGCAAACTGTGAAAGAAATTTTTCCACTCTTAAGTGGTTTGTTGGCGATAAACGTACATGTCTTGGAATTGACAAGCTTGAAGGAATGGCCAAAATCAGGTCATATAATATGACAAATATATGAAATGAACTTATCTACTTCGATGCTGAGTTGACTAAATCTGAATTACGTGAAATGGTAAAGCTTGCAACAATTGATGATTATATTGATGATCGTCTTGATAATTATATTGTAGACGAAGAAGCAAACAGAAATAATGATATATATGAAGGGGATCTAAGTTTATTATCCCAGACTAATTTAATTTTAGAAGATATTGTAAATCTTCAGGACTCGGTCTTTTAAGAAAGTGATACTGTACTATTTAAATTTTCTTTTAATACTTCAGAGACTAGTGTTGAAGAAAATGTCAATATGAACTTTAATCCTAAGGATCTTGTTGATTCTGTTTTAAATGTTGATTTGGATTAAATAGCTACTTCTACTGTATTTAGATATTAAAAATTATTAATAATGGATTTCGATATTTAAAATAATATGCTATACGAATGTAATAGAATAATAACATTATTAATGCTTTTTTAAAAAAGACCCTGTGAATAATTGTTAAATTTGGTTTTCATGAATTTACATTATATCATAAAAATTATATATTATATATCAAACATTGAAATACAATATATTAAATACAGCACATATTAGATGTTACGATACATGCCAATTGTTACAGTACATACAAGTTGTTACGGCATATATGAGTCAAGGACCTTTTGATGTATCTTCATATCTCAAGTTACAGCTATCAGAATATAAAAAAGATCACATCACCAATCATATTCCTGCATCTATAGCTGGTAGTGTATAGCCTTGTAGTTGCTATGCAACTCAAAGGGTTCTCATGAACTATAGTCCTGACAAATACCATATAAGGAAGTACTTAGAGGTTAGTAAGAAATACACTACATCAGATAATTTAGAAAATGCTAAGACCTGGAGATGGCAAACCGGGTGGTGGCAGCAGGGACCTGGATTGAGATACAAGGCTAGTATATCTGGGGATACAAGTGTGAGGTTTGGGGTATTCATGTAATATAAGTTGCATGAAGGAATTCAAGCTAGCAAACACTGAGCAGTGCAAATCTATGATAAGTCCATTTTCAACATATGATACTAATGCTTCTTATGTGAACTAGTGGCGGCAGCAGATACCTGGCTTGAAAAATGTGGATGAGAGGCCACTTATTAGAAGGAGTATACTAGTCTAGGAAATACTTCAAATAACAGGCACACCAAATTGGAAGACCATTAAAGACAGATTAACTGAATGAACCAATTTGGAAGTTACCAAGGTTTGATGATGAGACATGGGGTGAATGTGGTGGGTAACCAGATATAGTTTAAATACCAAATCCAGGTATAACCTAATACGTAGTGGGAATGTAGCATACTCTAGTAGGTTTAGGTCATAGATAAAATTGTCTAAGCCTATATTTTTAAGATTATATGTAGCTATATAAAGCAAATATCTGATACATCTAATAATGATATGAGGCAAGACCTCACCTTAATACTAAAAAAAAAAATAAATTTACATCATAATGGTATATAATAATTTATATTATTAAGTTTTAAGAAAAAGATGCCGATTTTTGGAAATTTTTGATTAAAATTTTAAAATTAATCAAAATTTGGCATCTTTCTTTTAATATTTAAATAATATAAACTATTATATGCTGATATGATGTAATTTTATATGTAGAACAAATTTTGTTTGTATATAACAATAGAATTAATTAGTAAATATTGAAAATCATTTGATTTTCTAAAATTTTACTAATAAAATTATTGAAAATCTTATTATTTTCAAAATTTTATTAATGAAATCTATTCTTATACACTAATTAATCTGATTCTACATATAAAATTACATTATAACAGCATATAATACTTTATATTTTCTAGATTTTAAGAAAAATATGCCAAATTTTTGTTTTTTTTGATGAAAAACTCAAAACTCAAAAATTTATTTTGATAGCATTTTATTGCATTGATTCGGCGATGATTTTCTCGACATCTACTGATCCAAATTTGATGAAATTTTAACTATTAATAGATATAATCTAGGCTACAATATATTAAAATTTTAGCTAAATTGGATTTGTAGTTTTTGAGAAATTGTTTAAAAACCAAAAAAAATTGAATTTTAAACTATTAAATATCATTTTTAAGCAATTGCTCAAGAACTAGTTGACCAATTTGGCTAAAATTTTAATATGTTGTTGTTCTATATTATATCTAACTATAGTTAAAATATTATCTAATTTGAATTATTAGTTGTTGAGAAAATTGTTTCTAAATTTAGTATAAATTTTGAGATATTTGTATTAAAAACTTCAAAATTTATAAATTTATATATAGATTCGGAAACACTTTTTTCAATAACTATTAATCCAAATTAAAAAAATTTAACTGTATATAGATATGATATAGAGCTATAAAATATTTAAATTTTGTCTAAATTGGATTAGTAGTTTTAAAGATATTAGTAAAAATCAAATATATATACTATAAATAATATAGTTAAAATAAGTATCTATAGTTTTAAGTAATTTCTTAGAAACTACTTGACCAAATTATTTGAAATTTTGATATGCTGTAGATATTTACTGTTTCTATCTATAGTTAAAATTTCATTTAATTTGAATTATTGGTTGTCAAGAAAATTGTTTCTAAATTTAGTA